GAAAAGAGGGATTTCCATTTAATAACTCGATCAAAATAGTGACCACTAAGGTGCTGACAGAGGAACTAGTTAATATGGATTGAACACTCAGACCCATAGTAACAAAGAACTTGGAGGTTTTATCCAATCAACACACAAGAGCAACTGAGAAATGTCTTCTTCTTCTTCCTAGGACAAAAACAATTGCTCAGCCTATATATTTTCCATGTTTTCTTTTCTTATTTTTCAGTTTTTCATAAATATGTCAATTTTCTATGTTTTAACATGAGGTCTACTTATTTCAGGAGGATTATGGTAATTATTAGTCAAAGTTTACTGCTGGTTAACTATAAAACCTAGGGACTTGTCAGTTCAGGTTTTATAGGATTTTTCCTAGGTTTTATAGTAAGCAACAGTAGTCTTTGACTGATAATTACCAATAATCCTCATGAAATAAGTATAGACCTCATGTTGAAACATTGAAAATCAACATACTTATGAAATAAAAAAGAAGAAAAGAAAACATGGAAAATATAGAGGCTGAGCAATTGTTTTGTCCTCGGTTGCTCTTGTGTGTTGTTTGGATAAAATCTTCAAGTTTTTCGTTACTTATCAGTTCAGGTTCTTGAAGGACTACATCACCAAGTTGCATGTCGATTGAACCCATAAAATAAGAAAATTGAAAAAAAAAAACTAGTAAATAATTATAAAAATATTATAAACCCACAAAATGAAGAGTTTAGTTTAATATCTATTGTAATACTATAAATACCATAAAATAAAAAATAAAAATATTATGTGGCACCTTATACAAAAATGTGTGGGTGAGGTGACCCTCCAAGGGCACCTTGTCACCTCAATATCACCTTGACAGCTATTCTCAGACTGGACCAGGACTTTTATTGAGGAACCAGCTTGACTGGTAAGCCTATTCTGGAGTTATCACATGGCAAAGAATATAAAAACTTAATACTTAAAGATTTAGTCAACAAAAAGGGATTTCCAATAGATGGCAATCCACCTATCATTGTTTACCACAAGCAAGGTCATAAGTGGTAAGACAAAGGCAACCAAAGATGTTAAGACCAGATTGAAGCTATCTTGATCAATTCTGGCTCCAAACAACTCAATTTTGTGGACAAACCCAATCCCCAGAAATGTAATTAGAGGTGGTTCAGGCGTATGCCAAGAGGCTGCCTCCAAGCGCAGCACACTCAAAACGTCCCGATACATATGCTGGGGGCATGAACGCCTTTGAGGCATACAACTCATGCAGAAAAGAAAAGGAAAAGAGGAGGTCCACCTCCATTTGAGGAGGCTTTATGCCTCCTTGTGCTCAGGAGGCTTACACCTCTTGCATTCTAAACTACACCCCATGCCTCCAGGTAGTGGAATGCTTGTGTGGTCACACTTCTGCATTTTAAAACATTGATCCCCAGTACAGCCATATCCTAAGGAGCTTGTTCACTTAGAACACAAGGGATGGAAAATGGATCGACTCCAGGATTATGAAAAAGATTTTTCAATCACTCATCTATTATTAAAAGACCATTACCCAATGTTGGTCCCAGATATCTGGGGTCTTGGGAGGAGTATACTCAATATGATCCTAACCTTTGGCATTTTTTTGCACAAAGTCGGCTCCCTGACTCAAACCCGTGTTCTCACACTTTCCAGCCCGGGATTTTACCATTATACCAAGTAATGGCCCCTAATGACTCATGAAACTGAAATTCTTTTTCTTGATAACCTGTCAACATCATTGGTGAAGACATTTGCTGAGAAAACACTCTTTTCAGAAAACGTTTCACGAGACTCCTTTTCACCCACTTGGGGTTCTTCTAAAGCCACAAAAGAAGATTCACCCAATGATGAAGGACCAGCTCAGTTCTAGTCCTTAAAGAGTGTTGAATGGTCTTCTTGATCAGAAATTTATGGCTGTTGATGGTTGTAATGGCTTCTTGAAGGAAGAAGAGAGAAAATAAGGAGAGAAAGAAGAGAGAAAATACCTGGAATCACTCACAGGGTGCCTAGAATCACTCTAGGGCATGGGAATCACTCACCAAAGCTAACATAAGCTAAAGAAAACTCAATAAACTTCATTGCCTTTGTGTAAAACGTCCATACATATTTATAGACTCTAAACTCATAATAATCCTAGGAGTCAAACTGTTAGACTCATAATAGTCTTAGGAGTCAAACTGTTAGACTTGATAATCCTAGTAGGACTCAAACTAAGTTGTCATATCCTATTTCAATTCAAAGAAGACTCAATAACTCTAATCCTACTTATGCAATGACTCTGAAATTTTAAACATAAGCAAACTATAACTAGAAAAATTAAACCCTACCATTGGACCCCACAGAAATTTCAAAATGACAAAAATACCCCTACTGTCCAAAAATACAGAAATACATAAAATTTCAGAAGTCCAATTTTGACTCTTCAAATCCTGCATCATTCTCCCCTGGTTCAAAAGAACTTGTCCTCAAGTTTTGAAGAACTTGAGGATGAAAAGTTGATATGCCCTAATTACAAAAGGAATAGGACCTCCCTCAGCTACATGCTTGGATTGTAGAGTAGAGGCCACACGCTGAACTAGAAAAGGATCTTGAAAGAAATGTGTTTCTGAAACTCTGCCCTCCATGACCATCTTTGTTAAATCATCAATAACATTAGTTTCTTGAACACTTAATTCATTAACCAACCATTGTGATGAATCTTCCCCTCACTTATCCAAACCCTTAACTGCAACATTTGGAACTTTTCCTTCAACCTCTAGATTAAGAATCACCATCTCTATGTGTTCTGCTACCCTTGGCTCTTCAATAAACTCTAGGACTCCTTCCATTGTTGATGTTGGTGGAACTTGTGCGTCAGGTTGTAATTCTTGAATTAGTTCTAGTTGAACTTAAAAGGTAAAGTCACTTCCTTACCAGGATTTACTACAATCAACAAATTTGTATCTTGCACCTGAATTTCTTTAACTTGTATTAACCTCAAGTTGACCATGGGTGTTGGAAACTCCAACAATCTCTATTTTTTCTTGGCCTGCACCCTCTTGATTTTTAATATCTACAACTTCTATAGCTTGAAATTCTTCTTCTTTAGCTTCATCCTCAACTTCAACTCTAGATAGAGTCGATAGACATCAACATGTAAGAAATCATCTACTTTATTTTCAACTTTATACCTTCTTCCCCTTGACTTCAAGTTTTTTGTTGTAACCTTTTATTTCTTCTTTTGCTCGAAATTAGTCAACTCCATATATGGATCATCATGGAAGTCTAGTGGGATGTACTTTTCTTGCAAACACTTATTCATCTCTGCCTATGTACTGATTGGATCATTGCCTCTATTTTCTAGTCGTTGCTCAAGAGTTTTCCACCATAATTTTGCATGACCCATCAGCTTCATGCGTGCAAATCCATTCCTTTGTTTGTCAAACATATCATGCCTATCAAAATATTCTTCTAGTTCAGAAACCCAATCAAGGAATGCTTGCGGATCATCATCTCCTTCGAAATCCGGTATTTCCCTTTCTCTCCTAACATGTTTAAAAACCTTACTCCCGTAGCCAACATTATTAAATCTGTTTTCTTCCACCATATTCTCAAATAAGTCAACCAAAGACCCTTCATATGGTTCAGAAACCCAATTATCATTGATTCTAGACCTGTAAGATTGTCTAGAAGATACCCTAGGCCTATAGAATCAGTCATTTTGTGAGAACATAGTAAATAAACCATTAGCTCTGATACCAAACTGATGTAGGACCAGCTCAGGTCTAGTCCTTAAAGAGTGTTGAATGGTCTTCTTGATCAGAAATTTATGGCTGTTGATGGCTATAATGGCTTCTTGAAGGAATACGAGAGAAAATAAGGAGAAAAATAAGAGATAAAATAACTGGAATCACTCACAGGGTGCCTAGAATCACTCTAGGGCATGGGAATCATTCACCATAGCTGGCATAAGTTCAAGAAAACTCAATAAACTTCATTGCCTTTGTGTAAAACGTCCATACATATTTATAGACTCTAAACTCATAATAATCTAAGGAGTCAAACTGTTAGACTCATAATAGTCTTAGGAGTCAAACTGTTAGACTTGATAATCCTAGTAGGACTCAAACTAAGTTGTCATATCCTATTTCAATTCAGAGAAGACTCAATAACTCTAATCTTACTTATGCAATGACTCTGAAATTTTAAACATAAGCAAATTATAACTAGACAAATTAAACCCTATCATTGAACACCACAGAAATTGCAAAATGACAAAAATAACCCTATCATTAGACAAATTATAACTATTTATGCAATAACTCTAATCCTACTTATGCAATGACTCTGAAATTTTAAACATAAGAAAATTATAACTAGAAAAATTAAACCCTATCATTGGACACCACAGAAATTGCAAAATGACAAAAATACCCCTACTGTCCAAAAATACATAAAATTTCATAAAATTCCAATTTTGACTCTTCAGATCCTGCATCACCCAAACTCTTATTGGAAGTAGAATTACATGTAGATTCTGGAGGCTATATGCAAGGTGAACGTAATGGGGAAGATAAACGTTGCTTGGGGCTTTGCTCAAAAGTTTTCCAGTGAAATAGCCATGCAATCAAGATGCCATGTGTATATCGGGATACATGTACAGTCTGGTGACTCTTGATAATACTTCCTGGGTCACTCCACTCAAACTCCTCTTATGTTATGAATCAGTCAGAAGGTATTCCTGCATCATATTGCGTCCATTTTGAGTTCTCACAATCTCTTGTTTGCGCAGCTGACCTAGGTTATTTACTATAGGTAAGTTTTTTTCCTTTTACCCCTTTTTGAAAAAAAAGAATTTAAGCAATTTAGTCTATGTAGGACTTGAATGTGCAATGCAATAAGTATTTCAAAACTTGTTACTGTCAAAGAGGAGAAACCGAACCAATCATTCAGACATAAATGAAAAGAAGAAACTTCAGAAACTTCAATAAACTGCATAAAACTAATCAAAACCACACCTTCTTGAAATCATGCAATTTCAGGTAGCAAGCAGCTCGATTACTGTGCAGAGCAATTTTCAGCGCTTTCGTCTTCACCATCGCAAGCGCTTCAGTATAAAACGCTAATGCCTCTTCATGCCGTCCATCCCGATACATCTGATGAGCACTTTCGATCAAATTCAACGATGCCGTCGCCATAATATATCTTTCTTTCAGCACGATTACAACAGAACTAGTACAAGCGTTGAGTCCCTTATTCCCAATCAAACCCAATCTCGTTCATCAAATCCAGGAACTAGAACTCGCAGAGAAGATCGTATACAACTAAGAGGACGAAAATGCGATTTTCAATCTCCAAGAGAAATCATTCAAACTGGAGATTGAAAATCCAAATCCTATCACCTACTATTAAAGAGCAGTCCCTAACTAATCCAACCCAGAATCTAAAACCAAAAAAACCATCAATGAATCAACTAAAATGTTGTACAAGATTTCAAAACAAAAACATAAAACAAACAGCGGATTTGGAAGAGAAATCTCTGGATGATCTTTCAGAAAAATCAGAGCTGAGAAACCCTAAGCTGCCCGAGGGAGAGAATTGGATCAGACAGACAGAAGGCGGAGCTGAGAAATCTCTGTCATTTCTAGTGTTTTTCTTTTTTTCTTTTTGATATCTTAAGACAGACAAGCGAAGTTCATGTTCTCAAATATGGCTCTGTCCGTGGCTCGTGTTTACTGCCGTGTGAAGCTTTACAATCGAATCTAGAATTTCAAATTTAGATACCGAGTGCCGGCAGGGAAACAACTTGGGCCCGGTTAGTCCGATGGATTGGATCGGGTTAATTTTCGGGTCAACATTAGAATTTTTTTCTTTTTTTCTTTTTTGGCTACAAATGGTATCTGATTATCCGATTCTGAATTCGAATTCGATCCTATTAAATATGAATTTACCCCAATCCGATCAGATATAATCTGATTCGATTGAATTTAAATATATATGTTCATATATACTTAACAAGTATATCATATCATTGAAATTGATCTTAATATTGAATTTTCACTAAATTGTCATATGCTGCAAGTTTTATACAATTAATTGTCAATTCATTTTGTTCATAACATATATTATTAAAGTCATTTTCAGGTCATCTTATTAATAATATAACATTTTAGTTATTGTCGGTCTAATTTATTTATACTATTTAATATCTTATTATAATCCGAATTCAATTTTAATCTGTTAGATATTCAACATAATGATCTTATTCGAATTTGAATGTTAATAAATCAAATTCGGATATGTCTATATCCAATTCAATTTGATTCATTTGCAGCCTTAACCACGACAGAACACCAGTTCATAAATTTTTAGGGTAAAATACGAAAACCTCCCCAAAAGTTCTTGACAATCATAAAAACCTCCTCTATAGTTTCACTTTAACCAAAACTTTCCTTCAACTTTTAAAAAATTCAACAAAAACTTCCCTTCTATCACTAACCCATGGAAAACGTTAGACCGATGCATCAATTTCTTTCAAATACCTATTTTACCCTTTTGTAAATTAATTTATATATATATATATATATATATATTGAAATACCCATGTTTGAAAATCGACAAAAAAAATCTCCCTGCACTTGGCAGAGCAACAACCACCCCAAGGATCTGGCATTAATGACATTCACCCTAATCCACCTTCTCCTAAGTCTTCCTCTAATCTTGATCGAGTGAAAGCCAATCCGTCATAAGTCATCTGGTCCTCCTTGTGCTACTAGTTTTGATTTCTTTCTTGGCCCTACTAGTGATAGCTTCGGTGCTTCATTCAAAAAGGATGGTGATGACTCTTCCTCTTCTTCACCTAATTCTGCCTCTAATTCCAATGGTCCATCCTCATCTATCAACAAGTACTCATCTCAATCTCAGTTGAATGGTAATGGGGAACACTTGCACCATAGGATAATTGAATTGGAACTTCAGCTCGACCACACAAATGAGAAGCTTCGATTGGCAGTCAAGATGCATATCCAAGGCTCATCAAGGTTTGAAGAGCTATAGGGTAGAATGGCACAATATGAGCAAGAGCTACATGTTGCAAATGAAAACCTTCACATTTCAACTAAAGAGATAGACAAATTGTAGCTTCAACCTGAGGAGACGGATTTATCGCAACAAACCCATGGTTTACAAGTTAAGCTTCAATTAACGAATATGGATATTCAAATGCCAAAGACAGGGATAGAGACTAAGCACAAATTGGAGGAAAGCCAGGTTTGGGCGCTGTAAAAGCGGATTCGGGAATTGAAAGCAACCACTTTGGTTGCAACTGGTAGGATTGAGGCATTGATAGGGAGATTTTTTTTGCCGGTTTTCATATAGGGGTGTTTCAATAAAAATATATGCAAATTAATTTACAAAATGGGTAAAATGGGTATTTGAAAGAAATTGATGCCTTGGTCTAATGTTTTCTGTCTAGGTCTAGGTCAATGACAAAAGGGAGGTTTTTGTCGAGTTCTTTAAAAGTTCGAGGGAGATTTTTATTAAAAGTGAAACTATAGGGAGATTTTTATGATTGTTAGAAACTTCAAGGGAGGATTTTGTATTTTACCCAAACTTTTATTCACGGGAGATGTTCCCAATGCACAGAAGAAGCAAATCCAAACTCCAATGGGAGATAGACAATTAGTTAGAGACCTAGTTGTGTTTGATACCATTGCCACTTCTATTTGCAATATTTTAGGTTGGCCCATACAAATTTTTGAGAAACGGTCTTGTCACATCACATCAGATAACCACTTTCACTAAAAAATATATAGGCATCGGATTCGATGTTAGCATTTATGGTAGAAACACCAAATTTGATATACAACAATGGTACTAAATGTTGTATTGAGAACTCAAAGCATTTGTGATAGAATAAAATATATTCTCCTAAAATTTGTATTGACCAAACACAACCCTAATCAATCGGTTGGTTAGTGTGGGTTGAGGTTGAGGCCTTTACCAACCCAAACTTCACTTAGCTTCATACTTTGTATTTATAAATATTATAATAAATATATATTTACGCATCATGTCGCATCATATCTATATGTCCAAATATGCATCAATAAATGTACATGTAAAGGCATTAAATAATCACATACCACATTTAACTTTTATGATTTGCATCTAAAGAAGGCAAGTATATGCTTTATAATAGTATACATGTATGTCAACAATTTTAAATTTAAAGACAATTTTTTTTTTAAATATTGATAATCAAGGTGGCGTTCGGCAAGTCCTTCTATGTGGTCTTTTAGTCTTCGACAAGCTTAGAAGACCGAAAGTTAGTCTTTTCCATTTAGTAACCAAAAGCTAGTAAGACCAATAGATGCATGCATGAAAAGGCCCGAAAATGATGAATTTCAAGAAGCTTCAAATGAAGCATTCTGATCTTTCCGCTTGATAAATAGCTTCTAAATGTGTTTCTAAACGCTTGGTAGACCAAGCCACTTGCCAAACGGTCTTTGTCTTTAAATACAAGACCCTAAAGGCTCTACGTCTTTTGGCAATCTAGGCTATTGTAAGATCTTTCTAAAAAGACTTTCCAAGTGCACCTCAAATCTCTTTACATATAATAATGCTAAAACTAAATTGATCTCAAGCCTTGAGTTTATAAATAAGAACATTTGGCAAGAAGAATTAGAGAAATTGGGCTAATCTAAACCCAACTCAAACTCAATTGGAAATCTTCAGGTTGGGTTAGGATTAAGGCTGAGGTTCCATAGCTTTTGTTTGGATAGGGTTAACATCAACCTAACCTAACTTGGCCTGACTTGCACCCCTTTTCTCATATATAAACCAAATTGAATTCAGGTAGGGTGTTAATCCTAATAAGATCCAACAAGAATATGATAGATCCGAATTCAATCTAATGTCTAATGGACCAAGCAAACATATTGATTCCAATTCAATTTGTTTATATATCCAGATCTTTGATTTGATGAAAATCTAAGTAAATTCATATAAAACTATGATACACTTATAAAATTAAATATAAAATGATACATGGTTTTGAAAACCAGACAGGACTAGATGACCTAGGAACTAGTCATGGCTCCATGTCTGGTTTTAGACCCCAAAACCATCCCACCAGTTTAGACTGGATAGTCAGATCATTTGACTCAAGAACTGGTGGCCAAAGTGGTTTCATTTCTAAATCGGTTTTTAAAACCATGGTATATCTATAATAATATTTATCTAAATACCACATCTTACTTAATTCTAAAGAATTTTGATACTAAAAAGTAAGGGTAAATTTCTTAAACTACCCTTATGGTTTAGCTAATTAACTAACTTACCCTTACTATTTACATATTGTCTTAAAGCTACCCTTAAGTTTTTTAACAATTGACTAAATCCTCCCCTACCATTAATTTTTCATCACATGTAACATCACGTGAACAATACTTTTTTCAAAAATTCTAAAAATACCCTTTGTTTGTAAGGTTCATGTTTTCTACGATCATGGCCATAGCAACCACCACCACCACGGCTATATCCACCACTTTCACAACACTATCGTATCTATTGACACCGCCATAACCATTGGCATTGCTGTGAAATCCTTTGCCCCCACCACCGCTTCCTTTGGTTGACAGTGATGTTTCGGTCGGTCTCACTATCACTGATGATCTTTGATTCCAGAATTTCGTCAAGAAAGGGATGGGCGCTAGAGAGTTTTGGTTGGGCATAAGAGAGGAAGTAGAGGGATGACCCTTCTTTATAGGAGTAAAAAGAAGGGAGAGACCACTAGTTACAATGATGATGATGTGCTCTTAGACTGAAACAGGGGAAGTGAGATGGAAGGGGGGAAGAAGGAGAGAGAGAGAGAGAGAGAGGGGGAGGGAGAGGGAAAACTGTCCACTATCGGGAGGTGAGATCGTTTCTCTCAACTGCTAATTCAAGGCGAATTGAAATACCAACTGTCCACTATCATCTAGAGTCCCTGAGTAGAGACTGGAAGCCCTCTTGAGAGACTAAAATACCAACTGTCCACCATTTGCTTCCTCTGAAATAAAATACTAGCCATAGGGACTGAAAGCCCTCTCGAGAGACTAATCATTGGTGGCTCATGCGAGACCATTGGGCACCTTTGCTTCCTTTGACATTCCACACAAGTATACCTCCCCTTATTAAATTGTTTAGAAATTAGAATTCCCAAAATCAATTTCAAGGGAGAGGAAGCCATTGGCTTTTCTGGAGGTGGCACAAGTGGTGGAAGGTTTGTTTACAAGAGAGAGACGGAGATACCTACCTATAGGATGAGGGTATACGTTAGGATCCATGAACTTTCCTTCCTATGCGGGATAATAACTGGAACAATGATTGTCCTAGGGTTTTGAGTAGGTGGACTTGGGTGGTTGTCTCTGTTGTACCGATTGTCCTAGGCTTCAAGTTCAAGGGCAAGGGTAAGGGAAATGATTTTCCTCCATACTTAGTGGCTGTGAGGCTGACGGTGTTGAGTGGACGGTGTAAGCAGGGAGGTAAGGCTACGTACAGGGCCTCCTTGAAGGATAGGGGAAAGTCAGGAGCGGGAGATAAGCCAAAGGCTAGGGTGAATAAAATGATAGAATGATGATCTCGTTATGAATTGGACCCCTATTTATAGGAAGAGATCCCGAGGTCCCAAAAGGAATGAGCCAAAAGTGTTTGATTTTCTTTCGTCTAAGGATTCTCATAATACACGTGTACTA